GAGGCGGGTGGAGGTATAAGAAAAAGAATACTGAAGACCTAGAACCCTATAGGTGGAGAAGAAAGAGGATCCAAGAAAACTGCTCCAGTACTGGAAGGGGCCCACAATTAACTGGAGTCTGGGAGAAGAAACTCACAGGGTTAAACACAAGCAGAAAGCTGTCTGCCTGCACTTTAACATCTGGTATCCCCATGTTGGCACTAAAGAGAAGTAGGACTTGGGGATACGATTTGTTGTTATTTTAAATAAACTTATGGTTTTCAGTTAGAAAAAAAGCTCATATAACCTAGGACAGGGGTTGTCAATCAGGGGTACATGTACCCCTGTGGGTATTTGGGAGGGCCCCAGGGGGTATGTGGCAGTGGCATGGAGAAGCAGGAAGGGGGAGGAGACTTCCGGTTTTGCCACCAGTGCTTCCAGTTTTGCTGTTGGTGCTTCTGGTTTTGCCACTGCACAGGGGGCCCCCTCTCCCCACCCCCGCTTGTCAATCAGCTGCTGGGGGACCCTCCCCCACCCTACCTGGACAGGTTAGACAAGTGGGCAGAAAACAACAGAATGCAGTTCAACAAGGAGAAATGCGAAGTGCTGCACCTATGGAGGAAAAATGTCCAGCACACCTACAGCCTAGGGAATGACCTGCTGGGTGGCACGGAAGTGGAAAGGGATCTTGGAGTCCTAGTGGACTCCAAGATGAACATGAGTCGGCAGTGTGACGAAGCCATCAGAAAAGCCAATGGCACTTTATCGTGCATCAGCAGATGCATGATGAATAGGTCCAAGGAGGTGATACTTCCCCTCTATCGGGTGCTGGTCAGACTGCAGTTGGAGTACTGCATGCAATTCTGGGCGCCGCACTTCAAGAGGGATGCAGATAACCTGGAGAGGGTCCAGAGAAGGGCCACTCGTATGGTTAAGGGCTTGCAGACCAAGCCCTACGAGGAGAGACTAGAGAACCTGGACCTTTTCAGCCTCCGCAAGAGAAGGTTGAGAGACGACCTTGTGGCTGCCTATAAGTTCATCACGGGGGCACAGAAGGGAATTGGTGAGTTTTTATTCACCAAGGGGCCCCCAGGAGTTACAAGAAACAATGGCC